CGAGAGAACGAGAGTAGGAAAGGGCTGAGAAGAGGGTTTCGAGTAGTACATAAACAGGCCCAGATGGCATTCCAATTATGCTGATAAAGACACTAGGTCCAAAGTCTAAGCAGACTTTGAGAGAAGCAGTGAGGAAAACAATAATCAATAGTGAAGTCCCCGAAAGATCGAAACATAGTAGGCTGAGCATGATCTATAAAGGAAATGGGGACAAAGCTGACATAAACAACTACTGTCCTATAACAGTGACATCAGTGGTCTACAGGCTGGCGATGCAGGTTATGAAGGCAAGACTGCAGGCATGGATAGAGGACTAGGGGGTGCTAGGTGAACTGCAGAAGGGGTTTCGCAAACACAGGAGGTTGGAAGACAACCTGTTCCCACTGACGCAGTGCATCAAAATAGCAGAAAAAGAACAACGGCCCCTGCGGCTAGCATTTTTGGATATCAAGGAAGCGTGCGATAGTGTGGTTCAAGAGGACTTATGAAGAATACTGGACACAATAGTTGTGGGATGAAGTCACTAATCTTTAATGAATATCTCTAAAAGTAAGAAGATAGTTATAAGGTGGGAAAAACAGGTATCCTGTATGCTAAGCTTCCTACCTTCATTATCATTAAAAATCATGACTACTGACTTTCCCTTACTAAATCCAAAATCTAACGTATCTCCCTCCTTACCGCAGATGTCGATCAATCTCTGTAAATCTTTCATGTTGTCGGCCATTAGCACTATATCATCTGCGTACATCGATGCTGGTAGTGCATGTTCAATGAGGTTTGCTTGTTTGACGAAAAATAGGTTGAAGCCAAGTCCACTTCCCTCTAATTTGGCCTCTAATTCTTGTAGGTACATCAGGAATAACAAGGGTGACAGAGGACACCCCTGCCCAAGCCCCCATTTTGTCTCTGTGGGCTTGCAAGCTCAGAGAGGCAAAATGGGGGCTTGGGCAGGCAAATGGGGGTTTGGGACATTCTTACTGAATCGGCGTTTGGGTGTCCTTTGTCACCCTTGTTATTCACGATTTACCTACAAGAATTAGAGGCCAAATTAGAGGGAAATGGACCTGGCTTCAACATCTTTTTCGTCAAAGAAGAAAAACTCATTGAACAGGCACTACCAGCATTGATATACGTGATGATATAGTGCTAATGGCCGAGAACAAGGAAGATTTGCAGAGATTGATGAATATCTGCAGTAATGAGGGAGATAGATGAGAATTCGGATTCTTTAGGAGAAAGTGAGCAGTCATGATTTTTAAAGATAATGAAGGTAGTGAGCTTAGGATACAGGAGGTCACGCTAGATATAACACATAAATACAAATATCTGGGCGTATGGATAAGCAATGGGACAGAGTACCTAAGGGAACACGAAATATACGTAACGAGTTAAAGTAACAGCAATGCAGCAGTGATGAAAAATAGGGCACTGTGTAATCACAGTAGGTATGATTCGTGAGGAATATGGAAAGGGGTCATGGTTCCTGGTCTGCCATTCGGCAACGCGGTGTTGTGCATGGGATCGGAAGTTCAAGAAAGATTAGAAATTAAGCCAGGTGGAATAGGTAGGCTTGCTTTAGGATCTCACGAGATTACACCAAATGAAGGAGTACAAGGTGATATGATTGATTGATTTGTCGGGTTTAACGTCCTAAAACACCATCTGAATATGAGAGACGACGTAGTAGAGGGCTGTGGAAATTTCGACCAGCTGGGGTTCTTTACCATGCACCCAAATCTGAGCACACGGGACTACGACATTTCCGCCTCCATCGGAAATGCAGCCGCCACAGCCAGGATTTAACCAGCGACATGAGGGTGAGCAGCTGAGTACCTTAGCCACTAGACCACCATGGCGGGGCAAGGTGATATGGGATTAACATCATTTGGGGGAGATAAGCTAGCAGCGAGATAAAATTTGAGAAGCGATTGAGAGAAATGGGGGAGGAACGTTGGGTTAGCAAGGTTTTCAGTTACTTATACATGAAGAATGTCGATACAAAATTAAGGAAGCGAACCAGAAAATTGTCGGTTAAATACTTAGAAAACAGCAGGGTGTCAAACCAAAAAGAACTATCGGTTAAGAAGAAGAGGAAGGAAATGCACACTGACATGTGGAAATTTGGCATGATTAAGAAGGCCGCAATAGAGATCTATCGAACTTTTAAGCAGGGAATTGCCAAGGAAAGATTCTATGAGAATACTCGGGGTATTTCTCTACTCTTTGAGGCCAGGACGGGAGTAGATCGAACGAAGACGTATCGGGTCAAATACAAAGGGGTAGACACGGTATGCAGTGCGTTTCGAGAGGAGGAGGATACTGCTGAACACTTGACAATGTTCTGTAAAGGGCTTCAGCCTACAGTTCGGGATGATGGCGCAGAGTTTCCCAAAGCACTAAGGTTAACAGACAAAGAGAGCAAAATATTCTTTAGGTGGGTAGAATTAACTAGAAGGAGGTTATCTGATTGGTGGCTAAAGTGAAGGCACGAGTGAAAATTAAACCCTTCACTGCAAAGTACCAGTCCTCAACTTCACTATTTAAAGGAAAAAAAGATAAATGTAGTTGTTCGTTCACTAAGTATTATGGCTAGGTGGCGTTTGCCGCCACCCGATCTAAAGGGTACAGCCACATCAATCCATTCATCCATCCTTGATTGGCTCGTTCGCCTCCATTACATGCACGAGGCACTCTAACCCAGTGCCTTCAGAATACCATTCACCGATTTGCTTGCGCATAACATCAAATAAACCTTTTGTTCACTCTCTCTAGACGCAAGACTATCGTCTTTCGACAGCATTTGCATTGTAACATGCAGATCGGAGCCAATTTTTTTCGCTGGCTATTTATTCTAAGCTAATTCTGAATTCGCCAGTGAACCACCGAAGTCAGACAGGTACTGGGAGTCGTAGTAGCAATGATTTACGCTTTATTTATTGCTTCCTGAGCTAGAAGAATGAAAAAAATATGTTGGATGCCACTGTTCAGACGCCCTGCAGTCAAAGGCGATGTTTGCTGCTTTGCAGAAGCACGGTTGCTTGATCTTCTCTGACCGTGGCACGAGGAGCGTTCACAAAGCTGTACATGCATTTCTTCCCACCACAGCAGACGATGTGCCGGCATTCAAAACTTCTTTTCCTTCAATGCACCGCACACGCGTTTCTCAACACGCAGTGTGGCATATAATACGTGATAGAGTCAATGAACTTCTCTGCAAAACCTTGAAAACACGGTGGCTGCAGCCGAATATACTATGCAATTTGAATTGACGGGCACACCGGCGGTGGCAGCCGGCGCGCTGGCTGCACGATACCCCGAATGACAACCATATTGGGCTTGCACTAGCACCTTCTTTAGGCGGTGAAAGTTACAAATTCCCACGTGATTAGCTTCTGCTCCTGGGCGTCAGCGTAACTAGAGTCTTTCAACACTTCAATACAGCGTAACCAGAGTCCTTCAACAAGCCTAGTGGGTTGCAGATGTTCTGTTTGTCATGCTATGTAAATCCCAACTATTGTGTTTTGTGTTTGCTAGTGACGCATATTTGTGTGACGTTGTTTATTTCCTGTATCCGTCGTACTATTGCCGTAAACATGTAAGTATAAACAGCTCCACCACAGCCGCGGCCCGTTTTCTAGTCATTTGCATGCGCTTGGCAGCTGCCTGCGACGATCAGCAAGAGGTCAGTCAGGTTACTGTCATCTGTGTGGCGGAACCGAAATTCATCGCGGTGACGTTTTGATTATCCAAGCAGGTATTTTGAATAGAGAAAGCAGAACATGGCTAGCTTTGTCTGCATCCCTTTTTTAAACTTTTTTAGTGTCCGAGCTGTGGTGGCTGAGAGGCTAAGGCGCTGTGCTGATGATGGTGAGCGCAAGCACGCGGGTTTCCAGCCGCTTTTCTGATGGAGGCGAAAAGAGAAAATGCCTGTGGTTTAGACATTCGCGCACATGTTAAAGATACCTGGGTGGCTAAAATTATTCCGGAGAGCTACACTACGGTGTGCGCTCGATTGCCTGCAGGTGTCAGCGCGTTAAACCTTATAACCAATCAATCAATTAACTTGTCGTTTTGGGGGGGGGGGGGTGTCAGGCACTGACCGTACGAGGTTTTCTATTGACACCGTATACCTACTTGTAAGTATACGGTGTCACTCAAGTGTGTAGCATTTACTCCTACCCCCCTACGCGCGCCCATTATGCTGCTTCCATTTCGTGAGCGTTTTTCTTCGTGATGTTGACTCTCGATTCCCAAACCTAGATTATTTTTTTACATTATTAGCGCACTATAAAATCACGCAGACACATTGCTAACCCGACGAGCTGTACGTTTGCACGCATATGTGCTAAGCGCAGCACGCCGCCCAGGGCTGTATATACCTATGTAAATCTGGTGCCAGTTAACTGAAATACAGTAAACTGCAAATATTAGTCTAAAAACGAAAACGTCACATGTCCGCCTTCTCAAAGCAAGAATTTGGCGGCCGTGACTTCCGCAACGAACGAACGCTGCAACATACACGCTTCAGTCACACGCGTGGCCTTGCCTCTATTTCACAGCTAAGCTACGCGTTAACTGAATCAAAAACACGCACACTTCACTCGCGTCGATCGCGTTTTTACAGGTGGAAATGAAGAGCACATGGAATTAGGCGCGTTGCCGACGGAGAAACAGCCGGCCCGCAAGTGTCGCCGGCCTCCGGCGAAGCCTTCATGCTAACAAGAGCGATCTTAGCGGCAGCTTTTGTCCCTGAATGAAACTTCGACCGGAGTTTCATGACCAGAAAAGCTTTGAAAGACTCTGGCGTTACCTTCAACTGGCTGTAGAAAAACTATATTACAATAATTACGGTGCTCTAAGAGATGACAAGGTTATTTCGGCCACGGCTTTAAGGTCTCCGGTCTCTATATAATGCAACAAAGTTAAGAATAATAATTATTGTGTCATTACAGTTTTATACTCCCTAATTTCAAAATGATACATTTATATTCACTTACCGGAGGAAAGTGTTCGGATTTGTGCTGAAGCTGCTTTGCCAACCTTGTACTGTCGATGCGGCCTTCCGGTCTCAGTATAGAAAGGCCTCAATATAAAAGTGTAGTCTGTCCATGGCTTCAGCCATTGAATTGGGTGGGAAAGCAGCCGCCCAGATATAGTATTCTGAAATGAGCGTCCTTCCGATTTCCCCGTCAGGAAGTAGCCGGCCAGCAGCAGTGAATCTTCGGAGTCATTCGCAGTCGTCATTGTCCAAGAGAGTTGAACAGATGTGCTTGTGACGTTATGAACTGCCAGTGAGGCTTCCCACTCCAGGTAAGGCAGTGGAGCTATAATAAATACGTAGTCTTCAGACATCCACGGAATATAACTATGCATTGATCTCACTACCCGCTTCATGAAGAAGAGTAGAGCCGTTTATTTAGTTACGAGAAAGGGTAACATTAGGTGTGCATAGGGCATAACACACTTACCACAAATATGTGGGCTTTCGTCATTGCTGATGTCATCCAGCTCTGAGCAGTCTAATGTACCGTCGCAGACTGACGTTGCCGGGACAAAGCTGTCATTACATATCAGGTCCTTCTCTTCGTGTGTATGACCTGGAAAAGTAAATTAGAAAATACAGTAGAATTATTCGACAACGAATGCCATCGAGAGTGAAATTCTTGTGGCAAGGAAGGAATCAGGCGGTCCTGGCATACGTCCGTAGAGTTTTAAACATTCACCCCTTCTAGGCAACAAAGAGATTTAAAAAAACGATGTTGATCTCTTTGACATAGGAATCGGTACAGTACACGACAATGAAACATGTCTTCACTGAAGTACTTTATTGTTTATTACACACTGATACATTATTTTTATACACCAGAATATAGCGAGCTCAGTGCTTGCTGCCATATTGAAAAGCGTGTGGCACCGTCTGTTGCAAGCGCGGCGAAGCAGCACTCAACTGCCAGGCGAGCAGACAATCTGCAAATCAAACGCTAAACTTCACAACTCTAGTCCGGCTGTGCGCTTGTCTCACGGTGTTCCCGTGCTAGAACTTTATGCTTATTTTGTGTGAAACGTCGAGGAGACCTTCCCTGACAGTTTGGAATGCCTGCAAAACGTTCATTGCAGACTATTGAAGCAGCTTCATCAGGTACGTACTGTTGTTATTGAAAGAAACGCGAACAGCAGAAATCATTGCTTTCGACAGAGTCGTACTGCGGTGTGTCTTGGCTTTGACAAGGCAGAATTTGTGCTGTAAGCTGGCGTCAACGTAGCGCTAGAATCTGGTTCCAACTTACGCCCATGCACCACATGTGTATCAATTCATAGTCCTGCCGGGCACTCGGAACACACACGCTCTGCAAAAGTGCCAGTCAGAGAAAGATTTTAAAATGGTACGGTGACGCCGGCCGAAAGCACGTGTAGATTCCCCTAGGGACGGTAAAGGCATGTCGCAGTACGACCGAGTCGAAAGTCATGCTTTTCGTGCCGTTCACGCATCGCGATAGTAGGCCGTTGCAGTTGTACTAAACATGCGTGGTGCGTGCATTCACGCGTGAGTCGTAATACGTAATCCTATTATTGACATGCAGCCTGCGAAAGAGTACGGCAATAGTCTTGTGCCTCATACTACAGGCACACTGCGCGCAAATCGCTGCTGTAAAGTGAAGCAGCTGGAGTCGCGCTTGAATAAACGCATTAAGTATGCTTATTTGTACACGTCACTGCGCTCGTAGTTTTTCTTGCTGATTGCTATTAAATCCTAAAGTGGCGAAGCTCGGCGTTTTTTGTTTTGGACGGAAATCTGTGCAATCGCAAAACACCGCACCAGCACGATTCCCGCAATGCGCTGTGAACTTCACAGGCTGTGCTCAGCAATATCTTCTTCTTGCGCTAATTATTGCTGCATCAGATAACAGCGCGGTGGTACCCAGATGGCATTTTATAAGAGGGCGCAGCATGAACAGGCGCTTTTGGCATTTTAAACTCCTAGAGCCACTGCATTCCATGCTAGCAAGCGCGCTTTGGCAGTTGCAAACAAATTATGGTGTCTCTGGGAGCGAGGGTATACCGCCTAAGCAGCCTGGGTGCGAGATAGGCGTGCTCTCGTCTATTGGTGTTTATGGCTACAACACCCTTAGATGTATGCACCCATATTGACACCTAGTGGCACATCTTCCCCATGAAAACCAACGACTAGTGACCGGTTTAGACTTTCCAGAGACACTACGCGCACCTAATAATCATGTAAATAACACTTGAACCTCAGGTGTTTTCAAACCGCGCAAGTGAAACTGAAAGACTTTTCACTTAATTGTTTTTCAACTCGTGGTCTGCTGTAGAGAAGGAGCATGATTTACGGGTCGGCGACCCTCCTGTGGATATATGCTTGGTATGCAGCGTCGTGTTAACGAGCAGTAGGTTGCTTCGGCGAAGATACAATTCTTTTGGTTGGCCCTGCATCGGTGTCTGTACACGAGAGCCAGTTGGGTCGTGGTACACTAAACTTCACAAACGCGAGAGACAGAGTTCTCAGCTTGAACTGTGAATGCGCAAAGGCATCCCGTTCCCTCCTGGCATGTCCATCGTGCACCGAACTCACTTGCGCGGCATTGGCCTGTCGTCACAGTTATATGTGAGTGGAGCTTCATTCAACAGTCTTTGTTGACGGTACTATTACACTCGTATCTGCAGGTGGCAAATATACACCACTGTTTCATATCAAAGCTGCTCTACGCTGCACACGCAAGCAAAACGCAAAAGACGAAGCACGTAATTGCGCTGTCACTGAGTCAAATCGGCGCGCAGCTCTGGTATCAACTACAGAGTGCGTTTGTTGCCCGCGAAATTATCCCCAGAAACCTTGACGAAGCTGATCGCGGAGGCAACAAACGCCTGGAGGCAACAACTGTAGAGGAGGCAACAACTGTGGATACTTGCCCACAAGTATCCACAGTGTGAACGCAAAACTTTAGTATAGTACGTTAAAATGAATTTCACAATGGTTTGTCGATAAAATTACGGGAGGCGTAATCTTTGTCTCTACTTTGAACCACATGATCTAAAGCATTGCCTCCGAGATGCGGCGCACAGCAATTAATCATTAGACCAGACGACGGATGACAACTTGCCCTAAAGCGTGTTCTTCAGTCTAATGCGGCAGTCTTCGTGCCGCAAATGATAAAAACTTGTTATGAATCGTTTATAAACTCGTTCAACATTTAATTCTCTTACCCAACGTGTTGCAAATACATGGCCGTCACAGCAGCTCCATCTGTGTGTAAGTAATGGAGAGGCACCACATATTAGAAGTCTCAGTGCTCTACGTATAAGAGTGAATTCCGATACTGTAGAATACCGTGTTCAAAATAGTTACTCCTGTCTGCTAAACAGCCTTTCTTCACCAAATGTGGTCACGTTTACTCGCGTTTGAAGCTTATTGCCGCTTTTCCGTTCTGATTTCTAGCTAACGTGGTTGCTTGAGTGAGTTGGTACGACATGATTCACATAAAAAAACAGCGCCAATAACGAGGGACAAGAGTCTGTCTCCTTCTTTCTCTTGTCCCTCGTTATTGGCGCTGTTTTTTATGTCAACCGATTTCTAGACTTCTCAACTTATCAGCGCATTCTCGAAAAGCTTTGATTTGTACCACGAATATTGTCCCTAAAAACAAAATTATGCAACATGTTTTTCTATATTCCTGCATTATGGCCTTCGGTTGTCTATTTACAAGATTTTAAGAAAAATCGAAGATGGGGTTTTTAATTATTCAAATTTCAGTGGAGTACACTTTTGCCAATATGAAAATTTGAGGCAATATGTAAAAATTAACATTTGCCCTACGGCAGCAATAATTTATGTACTTAATGAACACACTATATCCTTAAAACGTGTCAAGTTTGCAAACGCTGCTTGCATTACTTTCGGAGAAAAAAAAAGAGGCATACGTAACTTATTTTAAACTGTCGCAAAATTAGACATTTTTAAAGCTATTTTTTTAAGGTCTACAAACTTGAAACCGCATGAATTCATTCTTCATTAGACATGCATTTCAGGTAAAAAATCTCTTCCTTAAAACAAAAATATTTGTATTTTTATGGCATCTGCAATTTTCGAAAATGACAGGTGACGAAATTGGTGCCTCCGTGTTGGTGAAGTTTGATATTTTTTCTCGTAATTTATGCCGTTAATCATAAAACGAAGTTGACTTTCGGGCTACCTGGTGAGAGGTGCACGAAATATAAAATACTCAATGAAGTTTAAAATATAAACTTTTGGACCCGTGTCGATCTCTCGTGGAATCACCCAGAAGCGAGATCAAGTCCATGGTCGTTTGAGTCTCATTTATTGCGAACAAAGCCCATCGGTTCTATTCCTAGATGTAACAAGTGTTTGTTTTCATGTACTTCTTGCTGCCATCTTGGCACGGGTTTCACTTTATGTGTCGTCCAGGCATATGTGCTACCGGCTACCGCATACGTTAAATTTCGATCATGGGCGTTAGTCGCTGGGTCGGAGATGCGGCTCTAGGCGTATACACGTCGGTGGATTTACATCAAGATGCTCTATATGCACAGCACTAAAAAACATACTAGCTCTCAAACATTAATGCACAATAACAAACTACTGCTCCTGTGATGACAAGTTTCACTTTCGTATTTACGCATTCTATGCATTTTCAAGTACTTGCAGGTTTCATACAGTACAACCTCTTGTTTGATTACCTGAAGTGCTTTGGCCGTTTAAAAATATTGTGAGTTCCATACGCAGTCTATATCGAAGCTTTCAATAACGTAGTTAAAATAAATTTCTGTGCGAGCAACTGCATACTTTGTTTTGCCTAATTACATTGTTTTTTATGCTCCATAAACTGCTTGGAATAGACATCTGATCAAGCAGAAGACGTGTAGAAAAAAACAGAAGACCACGCCTTTTCGTTAAAATAGAAGATTGCCTAGCGGAGATATGCTTCGGCGTATTTCGGCTAAGATAGCGCAGATTTGCTCAAGAGAAAGCCGCTAAAAAGTACAGTGAATACAGCGCATGAAAATATAATTAGTACGTATCTCTTCAGCGTGTTTGTCAAGTATTTTGCAACAGGCTTCAACTGATGCGGCATACGAGCTTCTTGGGAACACACGTGAAAGCGTTGGCGTCCGTAGTAAGACTTGGAGCATTCGCATGAAAACTACCAGAAAGAGGGCAAGCCGCTGGCTCATGGACGAAAGAAAACAGATCGCGGCTCTTGCGACTGGTCCTCTTGACACCATGCCCGCCAGTCTTAGCGCCATAGTGGCCGTTGCCGAACCATCCGAAGACAGGTCCGCACTAAATGGCATGCACACCTTCACTGTCAAAAGAAAGAGGCGGCGGCAGCTTTATTTGTTTAGAAATGCCGACGTGCTGTGCATTGGCGCCATGCTGGCGCATAAACTTCACTCAAACAAACGCTTGAGATTTCCTTCAGGGAAAGTGCGCTCAGATCGAAAAGTGAGTCGAGGATGATCTCTGCAGCACCAAGCTGCACTCAGGGATCTCGAAGTGGAGTTTTGAGTCGAGGAGCGCTTGTTAATACGGACCTTGAACTGCACTTCTGCTTCGCCTTCA